GCATGCACCTAAAAGCAATGCTTAGATTTATAGTGTCAAACTCTTATCACAAAAGAAGAAAAGTTTAAAAATCAGTGAGTGGTACGGGAAGGACGGTATGATAGACTGAAAAGGAATGATAGCACAAGGGAATTGTTTTTTAAGATTTTCTTTACTGGGGCGACTGGGTAGCTCAGTGGGTTAAGCCTCTGCCTTCGGCTCAGGTCATGATCTCAGGGTCCTGGGATCGAGTCCCGCATTGGGCTCTCTGCTGAGCAGGGAGCCTGCTTCCCCGTCTTCCTCTGCTGCTCCCCCTGCTTGTGCTCTCTCTCCTTCTCTCACTCCCTGTCAAATAAATAAATTCTTTAAAAAAAAAAAAAGATTTTCTTTACTTATTTGAGAGAGATAAAGCAAGCGAGTGACGGCGGTGGCGGCAGAGGGAGAGGGAGAAACCCAAGCAGACTCCACTGGGAGCACAGAGCCCAACTCAGGGCTCCATCTCATGGCCCTGGGCTGCAACCAAGAGCTGCATGCTTAACCACCTGAGCCACCCAGGCACCCCCAGCACTAGGGAATTTTTGGTTGATGGAACTACTATAATTTCTCCTGATTATTCTGGTGCTGACCAAACCCACACCTGGGCTAAAATTCATACAACTGCACACACACAAAAAGGTTAATGTCACTACACATTAATTAAAAAAAAATAAACTGATTACTTAAAAAAAATCAATGATCTCAGCTTCCATTTTAAAAACTACAAAAAGAAGAGTGGATTAAATCTGAAATAAGCAGATGAAGGTAAGCAATAAAGGACAGAAATAAAATATAAAACTAAAAAAATAGCCAAAAATCAATGAAACCAAAAGACAGTTCTTTGAGTATGAGCAAAATAAGAAATCGTTAAATCTCCAGCCAAACTGAAAAAGCAAACGAATACCTCAACAGTCGATACCATGAGATAGAATGGGGACATCCCTACAGACCCTACACACATTAAAATGATAATAAAGGAATATAATGAACAAATTTATGCCAATACATTTGATAATTTAGATGCGATGACAAATTCCTTGAAAGACATAAGCTATCGAACCGCACACAAAAATAGATAAAGCTTAGGGGCGCCTGGGTGGCTCAGTGGGTTAGAGCATCTGCTTTCGGCCCAGGTCATGATTCCAGGGTCCTGAGATAGAGCCCCACATCGGGCTCTCTGCTCAGCAGGGAGCCTACTTCTCTCCCTCTCTCTCTCTCTGCCTGCCTCTCTGCCTACTTGTGATCTCTGTCTGTCAAATAAATAAAATCTTAAAAAAAAAAAAAAAAAGGATCTGAGTAGTTAAAAACCTTCCCTCAGAGAAAACTCTAGGCCCAGATGGATTCACTGGTGAATTCTACCAAATATTTAAGTAAGAAATCATACCGACTGTATAAAAACTCCATATCATCCAAGAGTAGGAAATACTTTACAATTTATTCCACAAGGCAAGCATAACTCTGAAAACAAATAGAACTAGAGAATTACAAGTCCATAAACCGCTACCACTCTCGAACATAATGCAAACATTCTTAACAAAATTCTAAGCAAATCAAATTTGGCAAGGTATGAAACGTGCCCGCCACGTTAGATGGTACCAACCCAAAGTGAGTATCACCTGAAGGGATCAGAAAACACTTCCTGGAGAAGGTGACTTCTGAGCAGACCCTTGACAGGCAAGCAAGATATCAAGAGGTGGTGACCTTGGGGAAAGGAAAACGGCAGAAGGAAACACAAGTGAATACAAGAAGGTAGAAGACTAGCCTGGACCAAGTAGGCATGTTGGCATTGACTGTGGTGGCTGCCAGGCTTCCAAGGAAGCTCCTCTCTTTGGGAATAGTCTCGGACACAGGGCTGAGGCCCCTTAGGCCAAGTCTGCGCTATGTGACCCTGACCCCCAGCCATAAATGCATGTTCCAGAGTCCGACACACCACAGAGCTGGAACAGCCAGAATTTCAAGCCTGAACAGAGGCAGACTCCTAGGCCGGTGTCTGCTGGGGCCAAATCGTGATCTACCTTGAGGGAAGTCCCCGGAACTGGTTGGTTCCTGCCCTTCCCTCCGCTTTTCAGCAACTTCTCAGATCCTGGGAGCTGCCCCAGGGGCCTTCCTGTAAACTTTCCCTTTTATTTGAGTTAAGGAGAAGTACTTTCTGTTGCTTCTAACCGGAAGAACTTTAAAGAGTTCAGGGAGTACCACGACAGCATCCCCAAGTTTCTCTCTGTGAAAGAGTTCTATCCCTAGATAAGAATGTGAACCCAGAGCCAAGGGTCTATGAAGGGAAGTCGGACGAACAGATCAAGTTGGCATGGTGGGTGCCATCTGGACACTCAAGATAGGCAGAGGAGGGCGGGGCTTAAGGGAGAGAAGAAGGCACGGAGGGTTTCTGAACAGAGGAGGCACATGATCAACACAGTCTTACAGAGGATCATCAGGCAGTGCTATGGAGGATAGATTATGAAAGGGCCACACATTTGACCCCCTGAGAGGCTGGAATAACGACCACTGGACTGCTCTGCCCGGATCTCTCCTGCTCTCATGCCTCCGGTTCTCACCTCCAGCATCTAGCTTAGGACCAGGTACCAAGCTGCACTCAGTTAAGTTCTGCTGATCAGACAAGCTGAAGGAGGAGAACTGACAAAACCCGATGACTCAATGCTGGGATCAAAGGAGGGAAGGAACTAAAGGTCGTGGCGGTTTCAACCTTGGCTGGCAATTTCAACTGAAGCAGAAATGGCAGGAAATGTGATGCGGTCGGGGTATACTGAAGAGGGACGAGCACAGTGTTTTGAGGTGGTATTGAGACACCTGGGTAGGAGTCTCCAGCAGGCACCCAGCAGAGAGACAGAAGTCAGGGGCCAGGGGAGTGGTGGGCGGTCCCTGGCTGGCCGTAGGTCAGTCTCTAGTTTTGTTCCCACCCAGAAACTGAGGCCTCCTGTGTGACATGTACCAGGCCAGGGGCTGGAGGGGATTACAGAAGCCATGGGGGTGGGGGGGAGACTGGAGGAAAACATCAGCAGGATTCAGAGTCCACTGGACTCCTTTTAGAGGTCTTAAGCCAGGACTACGGAGCTGCATGTGAGCACAATGACTTAACGTGAGAAGAGCCATCATGGAGGATCCTAACCACAGTGGGAAAAGCCTGGAAAGAGTTTCAGGGCCATTCAATAAGGGGATGATGGCAGAATAAATGATGCATAGACAAAGGATTAAAAAGAACCAGGCAGGGACTCCTGGGGGGCTCAGTCAGTTGAGCACTGAGCATCTGACTCTTGATTTTGGCTCAGGTCATGATCTCAGGGTCATGAGATCGAGCCCCGCACTGGGTTCCATGCTCAGCACAGCATCTGCTTGAGACTCCCTCTCTGTCTCTCCTTCTGCCCTTTCCCCTGCTTGTTCGCTCTCTCTCAAGTAAAATCTTAAAAAAAAAAAAAAAAACAAGGCAGTTCTCTGGGGATGAGAAATGATGTACAGATACATGATGATGTGAGAAAAACAGGATAGGAACAGACAATAAGGGATACCACTATTCACGTTTAAGTAGGGACAGTTGTAGAAATAAAATCATATATACTCATACTTGGGTTTCCATGGATATCTTTCTTTGTTTTTAAGACTGATGTATTTGGGGCGCCTGCGTGGCTCAGTGAGTTAAAGCCTCTGCCTTCGGCTCAGGTCATGATCCCAGGGTCCTTGGATTGAGACCCGCATCGGGTTCTCTGCTCAGCAGGGAGCCTGCTTCCCCCCCCCCCACCATCTCTGCCTGCCTCTCTGCCTACTTGTGATCTCTGTCTGTCAAATAAATAAATAAAATCTTTAAAAAAAAAAAAGACTGATATATTTATTTTAGAGAGAGGGGGGCAAGAGCAGAGCGGGGGATGGGGGAGAGGGAGAGAGGGAGAATCCCAAGCAGACCTGAGCACGGAGCCTGACTCGGGGCTCGATCTCACGACCCCGAGATCATGACCTCAGCCAAAACCAAGAGTTGGACACTTAACCGACTGAGCCACCTAGGAGCCCCTGCATGGATTATCTTTAAAAAAGACACACAAGAGAATACTAAGATAAACCACCTTAGAGAAGAGAGTGGAGTGGAGGGCAGGGATGGGAGGCGAGGCTTTTTTCCCCATATATTCTTTAGCCACTGGCCCACTTATTTATCAGGATTAGTGATTTAAGAACAACTATTTATTATGCTGAGTGCCTTTTAAGTCTCTCTAGACATAGGCTGTCTAATAAAACCCACCTCCACCTACCTCCCAATTAGCTTATGAAAAACCTACTAAAACATCGCAGGGTCTCATCCATGCCAAGTCCAGCTCTGGACAGTGGCCAGGAAGAATGTTCTCGATTTCTTCTCTGAAGAGCTTCTGATGCGGGGGTTTCAGAACGTGCCCGTGTCGAGCCAGGTGGGGGCATACACCAGCGGCTGTCCCCAGTGAGGAAGTGAGGGAACGAATCTTCACCAGGTCTGTCAGCCCCGCAGGTCTCTGGTCCTAACCACTCCGCCTCCACGGGGGAAGCCAGAGAACCACACCTTTCTCCAGAAAGGAAACCTGCGCTTCCACCCAATCTGCCCAGAGTCTATTTTAGCCCTCCACCCAGAACTTGAACATCAGCTATTATAAATAGCAAAACCAAGATTACAATTTGACTGATTTCAGTTGTGACCTTAGGAACAGAGGTCGGAGGTAAGTCAGCTGTAAAAGCCAGGGGTCAAAAGAAAACCACAGCGTGGTAGTCATACTGGGTTAGACAGTCACTTGGACCTTCCCTCCCACCCCACCCCACCCATGCTGCCTGAGTAACCAATTCCTATGGCTTTGGTCTGTACTAAACCACCTGAGAAATTCTAACAAGGCCAAAGAGAAGTTTTGTGGGAGTTTGCCAAAACCAGAAAGGACATTCCTCAAGGAAAGTGGCTTCCTCTTTTGGTTCCACGAGCCAGAGAGGGGTGTCACGAAAGCAGGCAAGGCGAGGAGGCTTACCTTTGTTATGAGACATGGCGTAGAGGAGGCAGAGAACAAAGAGGGCATGGTAGTCATCATCCGGGCTGTCCAGGGCGTGGTACACCATATCTAGGAAGGGTCTGAAAAAGAGGTGGGGCGTGCATGAGCCTCTTGGCACGCACGGCGACCAGCTCTCCTCTCCCACCTACCCGTGGAGTGCTGGCCGCCTTTGCCTTTGACAGCTCTGCCCCCAGCCTGCAGTGAGTCCATCGAGGGCTCTGTCCAGCACCGGGCGTGGAGGACAGGCTCTGCCCGTGGGAAGCTAACTCCAGGGGAAACTGAGGAACAGGCCAACTTAATCACTCAACAACCGTGGCACAGCTGTTCCAGACACTGCAGGGTAAATGATGCAAAGTCCCTGCTCTTGGGGCACTCCCATGCCAGAGAACAGATAGACCACATCATCACCTCGAACAGAAACAAGAGGACGAAGAGAACCAGGCAGCGTAGTAGGCTAACAGCAGACAAGGCACCGAAAGCCCGAACAATTTCAGAACGGGGGCCCTGGAGCCAAGCGGCCTGGATTCCAATTTGGATTCTGCCTCTTCTGAGCTGCGAACCCTTGGGTTAGCTACCTAAAACCTCTCCATTTCCCCATCAGGAAGGACTCCGGGGGAGGGGTGGGGGTTCAACTCGAAACGATGAAGGAAAGGCGTCTGGCACAGGGCCAGGGGCACAGCACGAAGGACACGTGGGAGCTGTGACCAGATTTCTATTTCGAGCGTTCCGAGGGTACTTCTCCAGGAGCCCACTTTGGCGGGTCCCGGCTCAGCAATTTCTTGGACGGACTTTCCCTGACGGCTAAGAATCAATGTGAGGGTTCACCTCTGATGCTTTGTGGGAGAGGTCGGGAGAGCGGCTGCAGATATCACAAACCACACACCCCAAAGGCTGCCTTTCCAGGTGAAGGGCCTGGCCTGGAAAAGACTCTTCATCACCAGGATAATAGAACATGCACGGGTCTGGCCCGTCGGCAGGAGGCTCCGAGCCCGTGACCACCTGCGGCTGCCTCTCTGGAGGCCAGGCTGAGGCCAAGAAAGCAGAGCACCTCGAGGAGTGACCGAGGGCACACGTAACCCCCAGAAGGACGCAGAGCCACTGTCAACATCACTGTCGAGGGGGAGTGAAGAGGTGTGGCCGAGAAACGGGGAGACTACTCACTGCATTGCCCTTTACACTTCAAAAAAAATCTGAATTCCAAGAACGTACCACTGATTCAGAATATTAAACTGAAAGATGCAAAAGAGAAAGTGGTGCAAACGTTCTTGTCATAACGTTGCAAATAAACACATGACACTGGGAAGTTAAAGGAAGAGCCTTTCCTTAAAGGGGACATTTACCCCCGGGCTCTTCCTCCAGGGCCCCAGATCAGGCCCCTTTTGGATGCATGAAGAGTTCTGCCAGGTAGGGATCTGGGTTTCTTTAAGTGCCTGGCAATACCACTTCCAACCCAAGAGCAGGATGAAGTAGAAAACGTTTTCTTGTAACCAGCCACCCGGAATGTGGATTGTGTTTTCATTCGAGAGCAATGCAGATTACCAAATGCCGCGTAGCGGACGGAGGGCTGAGCAGACACAACATCTTCTAAGAGACGAAGTAGCGTGAAACCATTGGCATTTCGTTTACTGAGTGTACAGGAAAGTGAAAAAGATGCCTGGGGTTGGGTATGAGGCAGAAAAATAAAAAAGGACGAATGACAGGCATGGTATGGTGTAAGTATCGGGGGCAAGGAGGGTACCATTCCCACTGAGAAATGACCGGCAGGAAGTAACTGGAATGTTAGGGACAGCTGCTTTGAACGCTGGCAGCACGGAGACCTTTTTCCCTTCTTCATGCTTTTTTCAAAATGTTTTTATATTTTCTGCATGTGTGTTGCTTTTGTAATTCTTTTTTAAAGATGAGAATGCTTTTAGACGTTTTGCAGTTTCTTAGGCCTATATTTAACCCCGAAGGCAGACACAGCCCACGATACACAAGGAGTGCGAGAACACTTTGTACTATGCTATTTCTTCAGACAAGCGGACCAATGTCAAGATCCACTGCATGTCAAGGAGAACACACTGCCCTCTCCTTCCTCCACAGTGCCATCCTTCCCGCTCAGGGCCTGGAATTGGGAGGAGAGAAGTCCGTGGCCCTGTTCCTGACAACCAACAATTCAACACCTTCGCAGAGGAGAAGGCAGCTTTCGCCCTGGGCCGGTCTCCCCCTGGCATTTGCTCTCAGAGCTGAGGGGAGGCCTGGTTCAAGAGTCCCGGGGCCATAAGCTTGTGTGTGGGCCCAACTCAAGGCACAAGGATCGGCTTCCCTTATAAGCCATGCAGTAGAAGATGTCAGTTAAAGTCACGGAAAGTTAAGAAACAATTTCAGGGCGCCTGGGTGGCTCAGTGGGTTAAGCCACTGCCTTCGGCTCAGGTCATGATCTCAGGGTCCTGGGATCAAGTCCCGCATCAGGCTCTCTGCTTAGCAGGGAGCCTGCTTCCCTCTCTCTCTCTCTTCCTACTTGTGATCTCTGTCAAATAAATAAATAAAATCTTTAAAAAAAAAAAATTTC